TAAAATAGAAAAATTGGTTAATTGCACTTTATTAACATCGATACTTTTATAACATCGTACTTTGGAATTAAAAATTTTTTAACGTTGCTACTTGAGCACGAAAATTCAATGTTAAAAAGGTTATTGTAAAGTAAAATAATTACATCTAATAATTTTTGATAAAACGAGACACATTCTTAACAATAACAATATAAGCGTCTTAAAACGGATCTTATTTTGTTTTTTTTTTTTTTTTTTGCTGATACTTGAGGTACTTTTCCTTAAAGATAACAAAAAAATATATGTATATACGAGTATCAATATATATACTTAATAGGTACTTAGAATTTAATATTATTAATAATAATCAATTACACGTAATTAATAATGATAAAAATTTTATATGTTGTAAAAAAAAATTTAATGAATTTTAAAAAATCTATAATGATATACGCTATGAAAATCTATAATGGTATATTTGAAATATAACGTAAGAATAAAAATTATTAATTTTAATGGTATTAAAAATAAAACCAAAATTATGGAACCAAAAATTTTATGAAAAACTACATTAAATGAAATATTTAATTGAAAAATTTAGTACATAGATGCTATTTATTACCTAACCCAAAATTCCAAAAATAATTATCAAACGAGAACATTAAATCAATACGGTGAAATAATAAAACTTTGAGCTCTTGTACATGTATAATTCTAATTTGAAGATCACAGAGAAAAATTGATTGAAATAAAATTTTAAAATAAGATTATGATTTTCCTATTTTAATCGACTTTTTCAAATTTATTTTCCTGATTAGAAAAATTTAAAGTCAGGGAAAAATTCAAATATTGGGAATTAGCTTAGTACAGAATGCATTAAAACTCATTAATGTAAAATATTTGTTGAAAATATACTTGTTTTTGTAAGAGAATAAATTAAAATTCATTGTTAATTAATTAAAAAAATTTGAAGAACAAATTTTTTACATACGACAAATGTCGCATATTTTTTTAATATTTTAAAACATACAATATTGCGCATGATTTAATATATGTAATTTATTATTTAAAATGTAAAATCATACATTCTTATTAGTATTGTTGTATGAGTATTATTGTCAAATTATTGCAACATCAAATATGTATATAGTTAAAAAAAAATTATTTAAATATAATATATTTTTCGCTTTTTGAATCTCATGGCATCTTAATATTAATAATTTATTATAATATTTAAAAATATAAATAAATTTCATAATAAAGGGTTGCTAAATACTTCACTGATCTTATTTCAAATATAAAACATATACACATTGTACAAATATTGTGCAAATTAACACATGGTTAAGTTTTGTTGTAAATATACATATATATAGATAAGGAATGAATGTATATACATGCATATTTACAAATGCCCTAAATATTTTTCTCTGGGGATCTCAGGGTTTTCTTAATTTTCATAAGTTTTATTTTTATTTTAGTTTTACTAAATTTTCTTTCATTTTTTTTTTAAATAAATTTATTATGTTCATGAAAATTTATCTTCTAAATTTAAAATTGTCTGAAATGAGACCATGAAATTTATCAATGGTGAAATATACTTTTATTATATTTGTTTTTTTTTTTTTTTTGAAACATTTTATTAAAAAAAAAAAATATTTTGTTTACAAAAATAAAATTATGTTTTCTTTTGTTTTGCACAAATGCGGTGCCAGGGAATAGTTCATAATAATTAATCTTGTTTTTTTTTTTTTTCAAATATTTAAGAAATTTTTATTTTATTTATATAAATAAATTTTGTAATTTTATTTTAATTACAAAAATGATTACGTGACTTGAAACAAATACATCCATATAGGCACAGGTATGTTTGTATGTATGTATGTATGTCGGAATAAAAAATATCAATTTTAATAATAAAATTTTTGCTAATTAACAAGTGAAAATTTTAAAATGTCTAATTGTTATTTTTGGTTTTTTTTTTCATTTTTTTGCATCTTCCATTTTTACAATTTTTGATATAAGAAAATTGGCGCCATTTTAATTCTTTAGAGATATTGTCAAATCAGATGTCACTCAAAAGTGAAAATTTGATGTTATTCAAATGTATAATTAATTTTTTCATGTTCTTCAAATTGTCATTTATTTACGATAATTTGGGGTATTATATACAAAAAAGAAAACATAACACAGCAATTTGTACAATGTGCGACATAATATTTGTATGTATGTATGTATTAAAATTTATTTATTTATTTTTATTTATTAAATATAAAAATTAAATGAAAATATTGAATATGCGTATACCACATTTATTTTTATTTGAAAAGAAACATTTTAAATTTTATGCCCTCGAAAACATAAATACAAAAGTATTATTTTCTCTAAATAGATTCATTTAGTGATTTTAGCCCTGAATTTAATTTTTGTGCATATTATAGTCTTACTTTATTTTTAAAATTATTTCAGACATAAAAATGTTTACCTCTAAATTAAGTCCACTACGTGTTAGATTTTGTACTACATAATAACTCTTGATATCCAAGAATATTATTGAATTATCTTATAAATAAAAATTTATTTCATAAATAACTTAAAATCAAATATAAAGTACATACATACCTTTGAAATTTCACCTGAAGATAATTTTTTAAGGTTCAAAATAAAAAGAGACCTTTTTTCAGAAATAGTAAATCTTTAAATTAACTTTTCTCCGAAAAATACGGAATTATGCGTTACATACATGTATATACTTGTTAACAATAATAATATTAAATTTATAAAAAAAATTTGCAAATAAAGTATTTTTTTATTATGTGGACATTTTTTCCAAAATTACATTAATTTGTCTTTGACAATACAATAAGAAAGTATGATAATTACGGTGAATTATTTGAATAAATGAATAAGAAACAAAAAAAGTTTTATACATACATATATACATACATATACATAAGTATTTGGATACATACATGTGTGGATGTGTACATATATATATCAAGACCAAAATATTTTATATTAAAAATTATTAATATAACGTAAACGTCAGTCTCGCTAAAAATAATATCAAGTTTTGGTTACAAATATTCTTAACACTTATAAAGTAGCCAAAAGCAATGTTGTCATTGCAAAATTATTTGCAGCTGTTCAAATTTATATAAAAGCTTGAATAAAATTAAAAAGGAAAAAAGGAAACAAAAAAAAAGAATGTTAAATGAATGAATGCTTTCACCGGGCAATTAATTATTTTATAATTAATTTTAGTTGCTTACGATGTTTACTTAAATAATACGATGTGTATGTCTTGGACATACTATTCCCTTTGTGCTGCTCCAACTTATTTAACATTATTGGAAGTAAATATTTATGAGAATCTTTTCATTTTGAAATTTTTAAGGAAATTATTTGAACTATGCCATTTGATAGGGCCGCTTACATTCTTCCAACAAATTTAAAAATAGATGAAAATATATGAAATTAATGTCAAAAAAAATTTTATATAATTTAGCTAATAAATTTTAAAATAGGTGTTGTCTTTTTGTCATATGTTAACGAATGCTTTTTTGACAAATTTCAGAAATCTGTAATTACATTTGTTACAGATAATTAAGAAAAAACTAATTTTTTAAATGATTTTACAGTTTTTTAGATTAATTTTAATATTTATTTCATATCAGTGTGATAACATGAAATTTACATTTATTTGAAATGCAACCTCAATTTGAACTGTGTTCGATAATCGAATAGAAAAATAATTTTCACAAAGTAAGTTTTTCAATTTGATTTTCTTTCTAAAGAAGGTAGACTATGTTTTGTATATTCGTAATGGTATACATACAACAATTTATTAAAATTACACTATTTATAAATTAACAATAAAAATATTACAAATATAAAACGGTAAAATTGTTCATAATGGTTAATAACATATTGTTTACATATACATGTACATGTATATAGGTATGTATATCTAAATTTCACCCCTAGAGCAAGCTCATTTAAACTTTGCTAATCAAATTAAAGAGAAAACTAATTACTTAAAGAATTAGTGTTAAATAAAAAATAACCGAATTTCTTATATTGCAAAATATAACAAGGACTGTAAAGTTTGCTCCGCTTAAAAAAAAAGTGTCTTGATGTTATATGTAATAATAAACCAGAAAATTTTCATAAATTTGATATCGTTAGTTCATTTTTGCAATATTTTGTGATATAGTAGTGTTATTCCAGGGGTATAATATATATAAAACATAATATAAAAATATGCATACAACACGACGGTTTTCCACTTTGTTTACTTAAAAAATTTTATTTTTATTAACGAAAACGTGTCCAGTAATAAGAGACAAGACGTTAATACCTTTATAAACATATCTGTGCAAATATACATATGTGTACTGCGCAAATTGATGTAGATATTAAAATATATATACATAATAGTTTCATACTTAAAGTGTTTTGCAAGTTAATATCAAATTAAATTCTTTAAAAAGAGTTTTACTAAATAAATTACTTGAAGTGTCTAAAAAAATTCTAATAGAAAAATTTATTTTACTTATTTTATTGATTTAAAAAGTTATATGTTATTTTATACGGTCGAATTCATTTTAAAGCCAGATAGATACCAGCGGATCATTGTCGTACCTAGACCTTAAGACCTCTAGCATTATTTAGATGTCTCTAATATAATAATAAAAGTGCATTTATATGAGGAACACGCACCCAAGGAAGCTTTACTTATCGCCTCTATGAAGATATTAACTAGAATATCTACATCTTCCGCTATCTTACGACGCGAAAGGATACAGATCTAAGAAAATCGATTAGCTATCAAATTTTTACAAATTAGATTTTTTTTACGGCTTCTTAAATTATGGAATGTATTCTGCTTAGCAATGAATTAAAAATCCACATGTACAAAAATCGGAAGAAAAACACTTTTGAAGTATTTTCTTTTCTGCTTTGATTTACGGCAATAACAGTTTGTGAAGTAAGCAATATATTTTTCATCTATTTGTAATTTTTAGTAAGAAAGTTTTGCTGCGAACTGATTTTGCATAAAAAATGGTTAGTAATCAAGAATATTTTTAAAAACGACTCACCTCCCGAATTTTTTGAACAGCTTCCCCAGATTACGTGATGCGAATTAATATCACTTGCAAAGAAAAGCCAACTTCAAGAGATTAGGCTATACCAACTAATACTTGTTTACTTCCGGCATTCCAGATTAACTACAGTCATATCTTTATTGCTCTGAACGAAAGAATAATAGAAAAGCATTAAATTACTTTTAAAAAGATGGAACTTTACTTTTAAATTATTTTTAACTTACCTTTTCGCCGCTCTTACTAAGAAACAACTTGCAATTTTGCGTCCTGAGTCAACTTCTTTGACCCAGACTATATAAACACCGCCCCTGCAGGCGATAAAAAAGCGCAGCTAATGCTGCTTTAAAGTAGTGGAAATTTATTTGAACTGTTTGAAGCATTACTGTTTTCAATGGCTTCGTCAGCCGTGTTAACAAAATCTTCATCATTAACGTTATCAGCCATTTTTGACTCAACCGAAATTTTCCCTTTCGACGGTTTCATCTCTTCTCGCCCCGTATTCTTATCTGAGGAAACATTTTGTTTCGTCTCCCGATTTTGACTTCCGTCCGGTTTTGCGTCCGTTTTATAAACTCTCAGGGTTATTGAGCTGAACCCGTAATTGATAATAAAGTTCTGTTTTTCTAAGAGCGCCAGTGACTCTTTATTGATTATTATGAGAATATGTCGATACTCGCCCCTTTTTTCTTCCAATTTCACTACCCTCCAGTTGGAAGTTGGTAGATTAGGATTTCCAAATTGGATCATCTGCAAAATTGTGTTTGCATCTGAGGGTTCTGCTGGCACCCAGGAACGAGCACGCGGTCTACCTGGGATTTGGTCCTTTGCAATAACGGCCAGCCTTGCACCAGGCCAAATTTCACCAATCTTTTGGATCGCTTTAGTGTACAGATCAGCTGATCTCTGATCCGCGCAGGTCACTAGTTTTATGTATCCTTGATGCCAACCACTATCCCTGCATGAGGGATACGGCCCTGGATTCTCTTTCATTACCTGGCAGAAATTAATCATCAGCTGCTTTTCAACTTTCCTCCAATTTTCCAGTGAGATCCTCCCATCATCTTGCGCCTTGTCCACAACAGCGATAATTAAATTATTCTTCATATTCTGGTCAAATGTCTTAACTGCTGGTGCATTAGATCGCGGAATTTGTGGCCGTGGTTTTTTGGCCTTACAAGGTGAATCCTCCGACGTGGTTTGTCTTTTAGATGCCCCAGTCTTCTCATCAAGCCTCTTTTCCATAATACTTTTAGCCCAGATGTACGTGGATTTGTCTTGTTCCGATCTTTGATCTTCAGGAATTTTTTCGATTCTCTCCAAATTCCTGTATGCTGACCGCCGTTCTCTATAAGCTCTCCGTGAGGGTGAAATTACTGCTGTTGGCATTCTTTTCATGCTTTGCCAAGATTTCGAAACTTCTGTCGTAGAATTGCAGTCAATATTAGGCCAGACTTTGTCAAAGCTTTGTACTTGACTACTCGGTCCAGGCTGTAATTCCTGTGTATCCTCCAAATTTGCACTAGAGCCTTCCAAAATTCTGAAGTTAGACTCCGGTTTTCCTAAAGAACTCGCCTTCTGCGATATTCTTTGTGTGTTTAGTAAAACTGGCTTAGCCATGTTTCCTTCCGGCGTTTCACCGGTTTCGTTTTGTTTTTTTCCATATTTTGACTCCATACTATTCCCACGAGATGCGGAGAAAAAATGTCCATCTAAGCAGAGATCCGCTGTACTTAGATAAGGCTAAATAATCTGGAGAGCGCCAGGTATCCAGATACTCCGTTCGCGACTAGGCTATTTGTTTGGGCCCCCAGCCTGGCTGATTCTCGACACGGGTCGTATAACAACTTAATCCAGCCCAATGAAAATTAAAACAATAGTATGTTGTGAAAGGTTTAGAATAAAGAAAAAGGATTGATTATCTTTTGGTTTCAGATCTCATCTGGGGATTAATCCCGAGACTCTTTGACCCTACTCAGCCTCTACACCACGGCAAGGTAGATAATCACGTGAGAGGTATTTAATTTGCAATTTTTTCCTAAACTTGTAAAAGTATGGTAATATTTTATTATTGAAATAAATTATAATATTATAATCATAAGAAATTACAATGAGCTACTGAATGAAATAATAACAAACACTATCATAATATTTACCAAGTATATATTTCATATTTTATTCAGCGCAATTTTCGAATACTACTCGTATACATAAAGGTTGTAAAGTAAAAGTAAATATTTGCATAAATCAATTTTTTTTTTCGTTCATTAAATTCACATCATTTAAACACTAAATGAGTGCATACTAAATTAAAAAATTCCTTTAGCAAGGTAAATAATTTTTATAGAAATAAAAATGTAGGTACTTAAGAACTGTCAAACGAATTGAGAAGAAAACAAACGTAATTTTAGTAAAAATAAAATTACTAAATAATATGATAACTCAAATGATAGAACCTTGGGAATTGGAATTACTAATATTTATATTTTACGCGCATATTTTTTTTATGCATAAATATAAACGTACATATAATAAACATTGATAGTAATTATATTAAAAAGTTGTAATTACCCTTAGTTTCACTAACTTTTATGGTTTCTAAGTATAATGTATGCCTTTATAAATCTCACTCGTACAAATTTTATGTTCATTTTATATTTTGTTTAATTAACGTATATATTTATTTTAAAAATGAGAACATGGACTTTTGAAAATGTGATGAAATTATTGTAAAATACTACTTTGAAACAAGCTTCAACAACAACAACAAAGTATTGTGTATATATTACAACTTTTGAGAAATTATTTTCGATCTTATAGTTTCATATGAATTTTCGCGTTATGATAAAAAAACAACTTTTCTTGCTACCAATATACCCTAAATTTTATTTAAATTCTTGAAGGATAGCTTTTCATGCCATTTGATTTATTCTTATGGGTTTGGTTATATCTTCTTAGCCAAATAGCGAAAATTTTCTAAAATAAAGTTATTTTATATAATAAAAATTTTCATATGTTGGTGGCCTCTGCTTGTAGTGTTCTTTATAGCTTTGTTTGTCCTTTTGTATGCATTACAGTTTAGAGCTATTTTCGTTAAAAATGCTAGAAGAAAAGTTTCTCGCTTCCTTACAGGCTATGAGATCACCAAGTATAATTAACTTACAAAAACAATATTATTTTATAAAATTTTCCTCAATATCACGAGCACATGAATAAAAGTGAAAGTACAAAAAAATTCTTTTGATTTTTTTAATTGAATTTAATTGCAATACCTAAACAAAATGAAATAAAAAAAAATTAACACAAAAAGTGAAATAAATTAGGGCAAAAAAATGTATGTGTGTAGATACATGTATTTTACGTAAACAGTATTTGAATTTGCCTTCACTTAATTACAATTGCATGCCAATGTGCATCTAAAAAAAGATTATGCATTGTTTGGGTTGCATTTAGGTATATAAAATAAAAATATGTTGCATTAGTAATTTAAAAGTTCATTGCATTGTAAAACGAACAGAATAATATGCTCTCATCTTTGTCCTTTAAATGACTTTTATATCAATTAAATTTTAAAGTATTATACATAAATATGTAATTTGTATTTTAGTTTTGCGCCGATAAAGACTAATATGGCGATAAAGACTAATGTGGTTTGACAATATTTTTTAATATAATAGTAATTATTTTTTTATTGAATTTAATATATTTTCTATTTAATAGATGCATAAATATATTTCTAGTTATAAAAGAATTTTAAACAATATATAGTTAATATTAGTGTATAACAATAAACATAGTATAATATTTTAATCCATTAGCAACTCTTAATAAATTATGAATACTTCTTCTGATACGAGTATTTTATAAAATTTTTAAAATTCTTAATGTTTTATAAAACCAACTTCAATTACAAGATTAAATACAACTATAGTATAACAACTTTAAAACATTATAATATATTATTTAATAAAAATTTTAAGAATTTAGAAAAGTTAGATATTATAATTAACAACTTTAGATATGATAATTAACATTAATTCCATGTCAAAATATATATACATACGAGTATGTATGTAATTGTAAACATATACATATTGTATGTTTTTATGAATGTTCATAAAAAATTCAATAACCCTTAATTACTTGTATAATGGCGCAGTTAAATTATTATTGAAAGTAAATCAAAATCACATCACTCACTTGGCGTTTCTATTACTATTACTTGGCGTATTCATAAGTTTTTTCACCTCTTTAACATACATACATACATTTATTATGACAAAACTATAATAGAGGAACTTCCGGTATTGTGGACCAACCTTTATATTTCGCCATTTATCTTCAGCAACTTTAAGCTTTCACAGTCTAAACATGGTTTTTTTAAATTGTGTGAGTAATTTAGAAACCTAATGACATTAATCAAATTTATTTAGTTCGGAATTTACAGAAATTGTGAGAGAATAAGAGGATAAAGTCCAAAAAATCTACTTTTGATTTTTTACACAGGGAAGGGAACATGTGTTCGGGTAATTTGGACTACTGGTCTATTTATTATTTCTATTATTATGATAATTATTATTTTACTTAAGAAATTTGCAAGAAGCATCTATTTTTTTTTTTTGGTTCAACCATTATATTTTGTCCTTGGAACACAGCAAACGTTTTTGAATCTAGCAAAAACCCCATTTGTCTTTAACAGGTGTTGTTGCTTCTCATAGTTGCGAAAAATCGAAGTTCTTATATTCTTTGGCATTTTCCTAAAATATTAAATAATTTTAGCGTAATACATTGCTATTTCGGGTAATATGAACCAGTACTCCAAAATACCATAACTACTAGCGGTTCTCCACATTACCCCCAACTTCGTTTTAATTTTCTCAAAAATCACTTATTACTACTCCGAAATTTGTAACAAAACTGAATTAAAGGTAGAAATTAGTTATGACACACACAGTTGCACTTCTTTTCATATTTTGACGCGTTTAATTTAGTTAAGCGAATGTTAATTACTGCGAAACACTGGTGGTCCACTTTAGCCGACTGGTCCACGATGCCCGAAGTTCCTTTACTTATTAACAAATTTTTGTTGATTAAGGTATGCATCTATGTATGTACGTACATATATAAAGAAACTGAGAATATGTATATTATGTATGAAAATAATGTTGTGAAATACTACTAGTAAACAAATAAATTCAAACGGAAAAAGAACACACTTTACTTTTTTCTTATCAATTTTCAGTATGTATGTGTATGTGTTTATATTATACACATTATGAAAATGTTGTATGTACAATGTTTTCAGTTCAAATATAAATAAAAGAGTAATAATAATAATAAATAAAAAAATGAAACACTTTAATAAAATATTTTTATTTTAATGATTATAACTGTAAAAAAAAATTTATATCGCAACATTGACAAGGAAATCACTTCAAGCTTCAAGGTCATCTTATGACTAGCATATTTTTGAATTTTATTAATTGCTATTACTAAAAAAATATACATATGCATACATACATAAATAGATTTAATACTTATGTAAGTACGAGGTATTTGGAAATTGCGACATATTGTGTAAATTATTAACAAGGATGACAAAAGAAGAAGCAATTATTGCAAAATATAATTTATAATATTATTAAGTAGATACTGTTATTTGATTTTTATATGTGTATCACGGAATATTTGAAGGCAATTTTTTTGTGTTATAAGATGAGTGACATAAGTTTTAAAAACCGAAGAGGTTTGTTCCTTGGAAATCGACTTTTTTTGGGAAAAAAATCGGGTGGGAGAGGAGAGAACTCGGATATCGTGGGGTAGTTTTGAAGGCTTAAAAAAATCGGTTTGAAAAAAGTCTTGTTTTTTGAATATTCACTTTAGCTTCGCAGCTGTTGAAACTGAAATATTGATTTTGTTCAGAAGCTTTTTTTTCAATTGATAGACCTATACAATGGTATACTAATGGCCGGTATCAGACTTACCGTTTCCAAGTTATAATCGCTTAAACATAAAATTTAATTTCATATACCTATCACAAATTTGTAAAAGTGACATAAGTCAAAAATTAGAGTAGCAAGCTTGTTAGAGCTGTATAGAGTATGGCTTAATCTTAGATAATAATTTGGGATTAAGTTTCACCTTTAAAAATGGAAAATTATATTTTTTAATTTGTGTCATTATTTGTCCCATACTTATTGCTACATAAGGTGCTTACTACACCTTTTGCACCAGTAATAAGAAAATTTTTTTAATATAATTAAATTTTAACTGATCAATGTTTTATAAGCAACGAATAAAATTTCACATTTTTTTTTTGCTTTATTGAGGTTAAATAAATAAAATAGTTTCATTACTGTCCTTTAAGTCCTTTATACACATACTTATATACTACCTATATGTACAGAGAAAAGAATGTCATGTGTACTTTATTATTAAGATATTCTTATATCTTATGTAGGTCATTTGGTTTGTTATATTGTGTGCTTTAATTTTAATATTGATTTTTTTTTTTTTTTGATTGATTGCCGTATTTTTCTATAAAAAAAAATGTACACATACACGTACATATGTACATACCCCAATAATGTGGTTAAATAATATTGCCGTCTATGTTTTACGAGTATTATCGCAAGCATATTTTTATTGCTACAGAAATATATACATAATTGTGTACATGGATGTAGATTCCTTGAATAATAAGGTACAAAATTCAAAATTGTATATAATGTAAAATTTAACGTACATTATGACATTTTTTTTTTCTTTCTGAGAATTTTTTTAAAGTTTTACAAAATGTAATCGCATGTTAAATAATTTTCATTTCTTTCTGATTTAATAGATTGATTAATAGTTAAAATTGTTTTGGTATTATAATAATATACAAAATATTTTAAGAAATTAATTCCTATAATAACTGAAACTTGTATATACATATATTACAATATTACGATAGTAGTATGAGTAACAATTATAGGAATTTGGGTATAATAAA